AGGGCCGGATGCTGGCCTTCGACACCGAGTGAGGCTCACTACGCTGTCAGATGCGGCATTGAACTCGGTCGTGCCCGCCGTTCGTTCCGGTAGCATCCCCGGGGTATGTTTCGGTTCTCAACGCCGCGAAGAGAAGGAAAAGTAGACTCTGTTCGTGTGCCACTGAAGTAGACCTTGGCGGACCCCTTCTGCATGGCACCATCGCCTTGAAGCAACCTGGGCCTTGTAAGTCATCGTGAAGTATTTTGTCGCATAGACTATGGCACAAACGTTGGGTTGTCGGCGTTCTCGCTTACTTCTCCGGGTGACCTACAGAAAGCGATACGTATTTGAAGGCGTACCGACGCGGTGTGTTGAGAGAGAGGCGACAAACCGTTCGTTTTGCTCTTCGACCTTGGTTGTCTTGTCTTGGATGTTGCTTCATATCTTACTCCGTCTTTGTCAGATTTCCCTTCGATGTGCCGCTGTCGGCTTCTCTTGGCTGAAGCTCACCACGCAACTTGTCTGCAAAGACGTGCAGAAAGTAAATCGCTGAGAAGAACCCAAGGTGCACATCAATAAGAAATGTGGCTTGCGCTTGATTTGGTTTGAGACAGTAGTTGCTCGGATTAGCCTGGGGTGGAGACGATGTGTGAGGAGTCCTTGCGTAGACCATCATTATTCTTTCGTAATTTGCGTGATAAATCTGGGGTTTGTGTTGGACGGTACAGCCGTCGTGCTCAGGCTCATTTTTTTCAGCCAGAGCTTCAACATCGGATAGATTGATGATCCTACAAACTGGTGATTCCAGGCACGACAGTGTGACACAACGATCGATCGTGATTTGATCTGTTGAGCCCAATCTTCTATCTACCCCACGAATCTGTGAGATGGTACGCGTCTTTGCATGTATTGAATGAAGTATGAAGTATATGGACGAAGTGCCGCGCGCAGTAGACAATATCGACTGAATCGATAGAAAGGGAACGGGCGGGGTTGATCCATGGAAAAAAGTGTCGGCACGAGAAAAGGATTCTGGTCATGGTTGTCTGATCACCGGGTCGCATTTTTCTATGGATTGTTTATCGCATCTATTTTATTGGGAGTAGAAGATAAATAACTCGGCAGGGGGGCTGTTTCCAGAGATCGTATGCGTAGATCGAATGTCGGTACCATTTTTTATTTGTGGGCTTGTTGCAAGATGGTTGTACCTTCATCTTCGTTGGGCTTCCTCTCTACGGTCGCTACGTTTTATTCTCTAGTGGGTGTACATATGTGAATTTTATTTGTTATCTGAGGACCACAGCAGCGACCGTTTTTGGCAAGGAGGTGATGAAGCGTTCGTGCTTGCGACTCATTTATGGAATTCGTACTGTCTTTGAGGGAGTTAACAGTGAAACTGATCCGCCGGTTGACGATGGAGGTGACCCGGTCTTTGATGCATGGCACAAGTCAGGCGGGAAAATCCAAACTTCTTTTCCGACTGTTTGGGCACGTCTGGGTGCAGTCCGTGTGTTGTGACGTTCTCCCGCACGTGGCGTCTTCATATCGAAAGACGCCCGAGCGCGGCGGTAGCTTCTGGATGTTTCTCCCCCGTTCATTGTTCAAGCTTTTTTCCCGCAGACATGGTAGAGTTGAAGTGACAACTCTCCTGTTATGTTGCTGTTGTGGAATGTATTTGTTTTTCGTCGACCGCTAGACTAGACAATTGTCTGTTTTTTTTCGGGGGTGCTGGGCTCATGATCGACAAGAGATTATCGATCTGGTCCTTTGTTCGGCCAGGCCGACCGACGCCGAATGCCTGGATTTTCATTCCGAGTGTCGAAGCAATAGCTCTTGCCTCGGATGTTGCGCGAAGAGTTGCATGTCCAGGATGTACATACTCTAAACGGGACGTTGCGTTTTTTCGTTTTAATGTTCGCTGTCGGGACGGTACGAAATTTTAGGCACAAGCGGCGGTCGTTGGGGTGCTATTTTGCATACCCAAGGTCATCGCACCACCAGTCTTGATATCGGAAGGGGGCAGATACCGTTGTTTCAGTTGAGCGTCGGGTCGTAGGTTATAGGCCAACTAACATAGAACTCCGCTCTTGCATGCTTCGTGCGTTCGCCCCGCCTTCCAACTGAAATCGATGGGCAGAAGCAACCATGCGGCTGTCTGTTGCTCCACGAACGAACTTGGAATCGTAGAGGAAATGGGAGATTCACATTATTCGACCGCATGTTGGGTGGGTCTGTGTGGTCACTGCTCTCTTCCTGTATCATCGCATGTACCCTTCTGATCGCTGGTTCAAAATGTGGTTCTGAATCAGAACCACATTTTGAACCAGCGATCTCCGAAAACTCAGAACCATTATTAGCAGATGACACTGCTGTCTGCTGCCCAGCTGCTCCTCTCAGCGCCGCGTGTCATATTAAGCAGGGGCCGGTACGAATGCGCAATGCACGAGATGTGTGGACACCGAGGTTTTTTGCACGGGCTACTACATATAGAGAATACCCACACGCAACCGGTTAGCGCGGTCGATGCTACGTCACGTATCTCATTACAGTCTAATAATACAATACAACTGTAGTGTACGCCGAAAACAGGCGAACAAGATCGACCTCGAACCAGTCAACGACAATGATATGGGGATGTAGTGTAGACGCATCGTAGAACGCGTTTTCGTTTGAAGTTGGCGTCTTGTTTGAGAGTAGATGTGACAGATTTGCGTAGACAAGCTTACGAACACATGTAGGATACCATGAGGATTGTCATTGGTTTAATTTCAAATTGAAGAAGAGATATTTATACGATGTAAGTGACAGTAGAAATAAGTCCTACATATGTTGTTGTACTTCGTATTGGTTCAATATTCATGTAGAGTATGAGACATTAAGGGTCGTTTTAAACGGACCGACTTTTTGTCAAAGTTTTTGAGAGTGTCAAAGTGTCGAAAAAATCATTAAAAAATGGAACCTGTATGTAGGCGTTTGTCCATTTTTTTCAAAAATATTTGGAACGAAGTTGGGCGCGAAAACTTTGCTCCACTTCGTTCCAACTTTTTGACAACCCTCTCAAAGTATTTGGAGCACTTTCCAAAGTACCCTTGCAGAGGCACGCGAGGGCTGCTGCGTCTGCACCACGAGTGCCCCTCACCGTAGAAAGTCAGCTAGGGTTGTGTGTGAGTCATCTGTCGCTGTCGCTATTGCTATCGTCGCTGTTGCCAACGTTGACGATGCTGTCTGCTGTTGCTGTGTCGTCCGAAAAACGGCGGTCCGCCATGATGGCTTGCAGTTGTTGCTTCGCGTCCGCCGCTTTGTTTTTTCCTTTTCCCGGGGGGGTAGGAGCAGTGGTTGCCACCCCTCGCCGGCGGCCTGCTCCACCCTCGCTCTGAGTGTTGGTGGCGGCAGCGCCTCCCGTGGTAACATGAGTGTTCCCCGAGATGCCAGGAAGCAGCACTATCTTGCTGGAGAGCAAGCCTCCACCGCCTACGGCGGCACCGAGAGAGCCCGTCTGCTGGAATTTCGCCGGGGTTTTGGTATGCCGGCCACGCTGAGTGGCCGTGATATCCATGTCGGTGTCCATGATGTCGTGTTTTCCGCGGTTTGTGTTGTGTCGTGTGTGTTGTCTCGAAGTGAGCGCTACAACTCACGGACGGCGTCATTTTTTTTGACACAAGTTGCACAAGTCCACGTCACACGTTTAAAATGACTGCACACAGGTTCCAAGTTTTTGAAAGACAAATGTCGAAAATTTTGACAAAAAAGTCGGTCCGTTTCAAACGGCCGTAAGTGAAAGTTTTCTGAGGTACATCTGCAATTGTCGGAAGGCAAACAAATACATAAATAAATAAATAAACAATACAATATGCCATTTCGGATACGCCGGAGTGCGATACAGGACGCTTTGAACAACGGCGGTATCTTTCCACTACAACCTCCCCTGATTGATATACATGTAGAGGTCAGGGGCGCCAAGCCTGTGGCCCAGCATTCATGACCGGATATCTAGACATGAGAGAACTTCGTATGGATAAAAACGCGCATGTCGATCTTCCCATCACGCCGTCGTCTCATCCCTACCCCCATCGTTTCACAACGGCATAAGCAAGACTAGAGTGGCCGATGTAGCGACAATAAAAGTAGCCCTGTGGCGCACCATGCCACGGTAAGTCCATCCAAGTGACAGCGTCCGCCGCCAAGCAAAGCGTAGTGGCTAGTACCTTCGTACTCCCACTGGCAGACGAACCAGGGGTGTCAATACCGCGACAAGATTGCCAAAACAGCAAAAATATCCCCCCAGTTGGAGAGTGAAATAGCCGATGGTAACACAGAGAGCCCAAAGTGGAGCAGGTGGACACACGACCCTTCAAATATCACTGGAGCTTTAATCCATCAATTACGGCTAGGGAAAACTGGTTTCGGCTGGCGCGCTATTCGCCGAGTTGCTACTGCTGCACAGACATCCCTTTTTCCCCCAGGTGGCTAAAGTGTAGCTAGCCAGGTCAGCAGCAGTTAAGCCGGGCTGCGATGCACATGAAGTGTTGACCTTAAGAGACACGTATTCTACGTTCTGTGTATTGTTCATGTTTCGAGGGTGACGTCTTCGGAGATGTGGGTTGCTCTTCCGATATTGTTCCGCATGTTTGACCCTTTTGCCTTTTCCCGCCGCAGAGGGAGGGGGGGGTCCAGACTATCAAGCAAGCCCCCCCCCCCGGGCGCTTGATTGCCTTCCCACAACGACACTACTGCTGTACTGCTTTGGCTGGGTTGCTGCCCCCGAAGGCCAACAAGAGCTCCTGCAGCCGCACGGCGGAGGCGGGGGATTTCTCCAGCAGCAAGCGAGAGATGGTGGGCAAGGACCACGGCAGCTGCTGACGGCGGAGCCAGCAGATCTTGAGCGAATCCTGCGAGACCAGCCGGAGTGGGCCCGGCATAGGACCGGACTACGGGGAAGCGAGGGGGAAAACCCCCCAGGTGAGATACCCGTGATTCCAGGAAATGGATAATTCCTCGACGGCTACAGCAGTAGCCGCATGAAGAGAGTAACAGTCAATGCCCCGCGTCTCGAAGGGGAGAATCGCGGCCATGGGTATGACTCGTGGAGAAAGTCGCTTATCCAAGCGGCCAAGACTGTAGGACTGGACGGCCAATTGATCGGCAACAACGAGAGACATGCACCTGTCGGCAACCCAGACGTGCCAAGCTCGGAGCTGTACCACCTCCAATGCACCAGCGACGAGGTCCAGGGGGGCCTCCAAGCGTTTCATTTTGTGACCACTGCCATCGTCAGAGAAGCCGACAAGGCGATCGTGAACAAATGCGAGACCGTAAAAGAGATCCTAGCGGAACTCGAAAACATCTACAATCAGGAATGGCAGGGCTCGAAACAAGCCCTCATGAAGAAATTGTTCAACTTCATGATCCCCACACATAGCAGCAGAAACCCCATCGAGCACCTATACTCGCTCGAGCTGCTGTACTCACGCCTACGCGAAAAAGGGCTCAATGCTGAACAACCGTTCATTCTCGCCCACTTCGTTGATTCCCTCCCACCCGAGGACCAACAAGCGAAGTTCCTGTTGGAGACAGCAACGGCGCTGGATAGGGCCGAGATCATCAGATTCGTGAGCACGGTGCACGCGAGCCTTCTGGAGGGGAGGAAGGCCTCGAAGGGCCAATGGAGGGCGGAGCATGCTCACATCGCGAGCAACGGTAGCGGTGGGGGAGGAGCGCCGGGCCGCGGCAACGGCGGCCGCCGCAAGGG